AATAACATTTCTTCTCTCCCCAGGTTTTAAAAACAACATCTTAGGATCATTGACAATTTTTTTAAATGTATATATATGTCAAGCCCATATGATTTTAACCTGATTACATTTACACCTTGTGTTTTGATTGATCTGATCTCGCGTGTTAGCTCAAACTACTGTGTCCTCGAGCTATCTATTAAGTTTTTACCGTGCAGAGATCAGACCTCAAGGTTTCCGCTGCAGTTGTGTCCTCGGTGCAGTTCTTTCTCTCACATGAGAACTCGTCTGTCACTCTGAATCTGTTGTAGGTGAGAGTTACCTTCGTGTAACAACTACAGACTGAATGAATTCTGTGGGAAACACTGTCTGTTCTTTCATGTGGGGAAGCTCCATCTGATCGTAATGTCCGATTCCTCAAATCTCAGGTGTAAATGGGTTAATTCCCCATGTTGTTTATAATGTTTAGTTTTCGTCCATTTAATTATTACATTTGATGTAACCAGGCTTCCCACTGGACAAGGCAGTGAGCTACGCCAAACTTAGAAATCCTCTGCTCATCAATGACCTGAACATGCAGTACTACATTCAGGACAGGTAATCTGACATCCTCTAACTGTATATACCATAAATGATTTATTATGGAAGGGTGGGGCACGAGAATACAACAGTTTTCACATGTGTATTATTTGATATGTTTTCCACAGGAGAGAGGTGTATCGCATCCTGCAGGAGGAAGGGATTGATCTGCCACGCTATGCCGTGCTGAACCGTGACCCAGATAAACCAGATGGTCAGTCTGCTGATGATCATCAATAAGTCTCTTCTTATTGATGGATCTTTGTTCTTTTCTACTATGAACTAAAAGATAAAACTATTCTTTCACCTCCTCCATAAAAGGTTGTCAGACAAGCAGCCCTACAGCCGCTGTCCCTGCGGCTTCCTGAGGCCTTTAATCCGAGACTGCATCGATTTTATTTCCGCTCGTGGATAAATATAGTATTGAATGTGAGGCAGTCACAAGTGTCCCATAGTTAAGTGATGTGATGGATCTGGCATTTAACTGCTGTTTCTACACAGTGACGTTGAGAGAGTCCCTGGACTGATGAGCCATCAGATGTTTAACGTCTTCAGCAAACTACAGTTCTGACTGTTGTTAACATGGCTGGTGAACTTCACATGGCCGAGAGTGCAGAGCTGCTTCACAGGCCTGTCGAGTAAACACTGACGGCTCCAGCGTCATCTGTATAAATGATCACTGCAAATGTAAAAGGGGCTTCCAGACAAACCCAAACACATAAGCTCCTTGTGTGTGTCTCAGAGTGTAACCTGGTGGAAGGAGAGGACCACGTGGAGGTGAACGGAGAGATATTCCAGAAGCCTTTTGTTGAGAAGCCTGTCTGTGCCGAAGACCACAACGTCTACATCTATTACCCCACCTCTGCTGGTGGTGGCAGCCAGCGTCTCTTCAGAAAGGTTGTTTTCTCTACCAGTGCATGTTAGCATGAAAGTTACTTCTGTCAATGCCAGTAGACTGTTGCCATAATAACCACTGTGACTCTGAATCATTATATTCATATGTAGCTGTGAACCTGCATCAAAACAAGCGCACCTACTGTCTCCCTCAACCAATGACACTGTGTCTTTACCCCATGTGATGTGTAGAGGACACAGGAATAGTAGAAGTCATTATAGTATTTTCACATTTTAAAGGAGAAAATACTTTATCGATTTAATGTGACCAGTGTAGTGTCACATGACCAGATCCTCAGAAATGATCATACTTTGTACACGTTGTCTTTAAAACGTGTACTACTGATATACACTGCTCAAACAAATAAAGGGAACAGAGTACAACACCAAGTCAGTTAAACTTCAGAGATCAATGAGTCCATTGAGACGTGACTGTGAATCAGTGTCTCTGCTGCTGTAACATCACCACTGGTTTGGTGGAGGGTCAGTGATGGTAGAGGAGGCAGGTCTGCAGGAGGTGGTGATCCAGGTCTGGGAGGAGATCCCCCAGGACTCCACCCTCCGACTCATCAGGAGCATCACGTCGTTGTCAAGAGGACGTCCGGGCACGGGGAGGCCACGCCCACTGAGTCACATGATGACTTGATGAAATTCACACTCGTTGGATCGGCCTGTGGTTTCAGTTGGTCACTGGGATGTTCAGTGTGGTTTGAATCCAGCCTCACTGGGTTGATGGTTTTAGTTTCCGTTGATCTTTGATTCATCATTTCGTTCTCAGCTAATTATATAATGTTCATCAGGAAAGATTTTCAACAAGTCAAGTTTTCCCTTCGTTTTTTTGAGTAGAGTACTCTTGCATTTGTTCTGCTCATTAAAGGTGTAAATTTGTTAACAGTCTGCGAGCAGTGTCTCTACTCTTAAGTATTTGAATCACAAGGAAGACTTGTGATGCAGCATTTGTCCCTGCACCACTTCATAGCTTCTTCTTAATGGTACAGGAGTCTGCAGCTGTAATTACAAATAATAAATAATCAGCACAACAGATGCAGCTTTAATTCAGACTCACGCTGTTTCTCTTTCACTCAATGTGCAGATTGGGAGTCGGAGCAGTGTGTACTCACCAGAGAGCTGTGTGAGGAAGACGGGCTCTTACATCTATGAAGAGTTCATGCCAACAGATGGAACTGATGTGAAGGTGGAGTATTGATTATTATCCATCTAATGAATCAATACATTTAAGTGACTCTTGTCTGAGATGGAATATGAGACTTAAAGGGGCCATGATGAATCTGTGGTTCAGTGTAACGTCCAATCGCTTAAAGGTCCTGTGTAATATAATCCTCATGATGTTTTCACTGGTTCGTTTCATCTAAATTATATGAATTGTAGTTTTCTTTACCCCAGAAAAGGTCCTTTGTATTTAAATAACATCAGACTGATGCTGAAGCTTTAAATTTTAATGTCACCAGGTATTATAGTGTAGAACTACATGAGTGAGAGCCCTGTTCCTGAACCAGCTACTCTAGTGTCTCATGGTACAACATTTAGGATCTGCTTTCAAATGAGAACAGTTCAAATGATTTCCTGTGTTCATGGATATTTCTTGCGACCTCAGGTTTACACTGTGGGACCGGACTACGCTCATGCTGAGGCCCGGAAGTCTCCAGCCCTGGACGGGAAGGTGGAGAGAGACAGCGAGGGCAAGGAGGTCCGCTACCCTGTCATGCTCTCAGCCATGGAGAAGCTGGTGGCCCGCAAGGTTTGCCTAGCATTTAAGGTAAGAAAAGGCACAGTGCTGATGTGGTCTGGTTTGTGCCAGTTTTTATTCTGAAAGAAATGTGTCCTCTTGTCCTCCACAGCAAACTGTCTGTGGCTTCGACCTTCTCAGGGCCAACGGACACTCGTATGTGTGCGACGTCAATGGTTTCAGTTTCGTGAAAAACTCAATGAAGTACTATGACGACTGTGCCAAAATCCTCGGGTACCATGTTTAGCTTTCTTTCTTCATTAGACTGTTCTACTGACCTCGCTCCAGCTTGTGTATGATAGATTAGATTTTTGTGTCTTCACTGCGCTACAGGAACATTGTGATGCGTGAGCTGGCTCCTCAGTTTCAGATTCCTTGGTCCATCCCTACTGAGGCAGAGGACATCCCCATCGTTCCCACCACTTCAGGGACCATGTGAGTCATGATGGTAGAAGATAAAATGTTTCTCATGGAGGTGTCACCTGCATATTTCAATTTGATTTAGTCAGGGTCATAATTATCATTGTGTTCTTTTTAATTACTATTTACTTTGAGGAGCTGAGCAGCTCAGAGTTGAGACATCTGAGAAGTACTGACCATGTAAATCAGTAATGGACTTTAAGGAACCTGATGCAGGCCTACATGTAGAGTTCTCACAGTGATCTTTTTTTATTTGATGATGGTCGGGGTAAGATGATTGAATCATATATAAAAATAAATAAAGATATCCAGTAACTACCTCTTAAATATTCTTATTTTTTACATACATATTTGTAAATGTGTTTTTGTTTTAGTGACTGAATCGAGCTAAAGTCCATTTAGGAGACAGACGTTTTTTTCTTTGTGCTCTTCAGGATGGAACTGCGCTGTGTCATTGCCATCATCCGACACGGAGACAGGACACCTAAACAGAAGATGAAGATGGAAGTCCGTAACCCCCTGTATGTATCTCTGTGATTTGACCTTTTTACTGCTGTGACGGATCAAATCCTTTTAATGGTTGAAGTTTTCTTTGATTCATCCAAGGTTCTTTGATCTGTTTGAGAAATATGGGGGATACAAAACGGGGAAGCTGAAGCTGAAGAAGCCGAAACAACTGCAGGTAACGAAGTCAGAGAAGGAACAAAGTCAGTGTGTGTGGTTTGAACTTTGTGTGAACATGTGTAACGTCCACAGGAGGTGCTGGACATCACACGGCAGTTGTTAGCAGAACTAGGACAACACAATGACTGTGAGATAGAGGAGAAGAAGTCTAAACTGGAGCAGCTGAAGACTGTTCTGGAAATGTGAGGGGCCATGTTCACACACACACACACACACACACACACACACACACACACACACACATCAAGTCGAGTATGAATTCCAGGGCTTGCGGACACTTGGTGACACCACAGCAGCAGTTTGGAGGCATTTAGTGTTTTTAGCTTATGAAGAATCTGGTCGCCAGTTACTTCAATTGTATTTGATTTGGCTTCAACACTGTTTGTTGACTCAAACACTTCACCCCCCTCCATCATAGTGCTGAGTAGATGATGTGGGAATTTTCATTCTTCAGTGGTTTTTGTTTTATTTAAGAAATATGGTCAGGGTTAAATCTTTTATCTCACACAGACCTGACAAAATAATTCACGCCCTCATTTCCTCTCACTGTTACTCCCTTTATGTTGTCTGCATTGTTTATTCTGTAAGATAAAAGAAATTAAGTAATCAGGTAGATTACAACCAGGCTTATTCATAAATGGTTCATAAAGCTTTTAGTGATTCCACTTGTTTTCTCTTGCTGACAAAGGTACGGTCACTTCTCTGGGATCAACAGAAAAGTGCAGCTAACTTACCTGCCCCATGGGCAGCCCAAAACCTCCAGTGAGGAAGAAGGTAGGAAAATGCAAACACATCTTTTCACCTTATACTTAAAGTTGAAGTGAAGCGACTATGAAGTGGCTTCGTGTGGATTTGTTTTGCAGACACACGTAAGGAAGGTCCGTCTCTGTTGCTGGTGCTGAAGTGGGGGGGTGAGCTGACTCCTGCTGGCAGAGTTCAGGCTGAGGAGCTGGGAAGAGCCTTCCGCTGTATGTACCCCGGAGGACAAGGTCAGACGACACAGTTTTCACTCTGAAACAACATCATGTTGGATCCCTCCTTCAAATGACTGCCACCAGCCACTCATGTCATGTTGATGGATTAATTTATTTAAAGATGTGTATCTGAGCACCCTGTAGGAAATGGAAAAACAAACTAAGAGTCTTCTTTAAGAACCTTTGAATTTCTCATTTTACTGAGCAGACACTGATGCATATAACTTCAGAGTGAGAGTCCAGAAGGTTTCTGAGAAGGATTCTGTGTCATGCACATAAATAAATATTGTGTAAAATGTATATTTAAAGTATAAAACTGTAATAATGATAATACTACAGTAACTTTCTTTTTTATAAAACAACTCAAATCCTTTGCCACAGCTGATCTTTGCTGTGTTTTACTGTGTCAGCTGATGACTTTGATGAACTCGCTGATGTATGACACAGAAAGATTGTTGAGGCTCTTTTCCAGAGAACTTGAGATGTAAACAAAGAAAACAAAGCTGACACTCTTCAATGAGACAGAACAAATAGTCACATGACGTCCAGAGGGGGGCACACAGCTGAGCTACAGACACCTCAGATGCTTCTGGGTCAAAGTGTGAAGTCCAGGCCAACACATTCGTTTTCTTAAAGACCAGATGTTGGAGGAAAACAATGGAAAAGAAGTCGTCAGACTTTGTGTGGTTATCTGCAGTGTAGAGTTTAATCATCAAATAGTCATTAATTCTTAATCAAACCCACACAAGGAGTTTTTAACTGCTTATGAAACAATCTTATTTTAATATTGCTGCATCTATTGGACCTATCACAGCTAATGAGAAAATCCTGGATAAATCCTCAATGTCTGGGGGGGGGTGGATTTGTTGTCCCTGTATGAATATTTAATACTTCAAGTTGAATCAGTTCTTACACAAGATTGTCTTTACTGTTCATATTTGATCTTTTATATTCATACGTACGAGTATTTTGATCTTTGAACCGTAACTGACGCAGTTTCATGTAAGTATCGTTGGAGTAAAATCAATCTAAACAGAGCTGCAGTGTCTCTGTGTTTTCTTGGTGTTTGTCCTGAACTTTTTCACTCCTTTCAAAGTAAATGCACATCCTGTCTGGACGGAAGTTTTTATGACAGAGGCGCCAAAATCAACCAAAATGAGAAGTTCCTTGTAGGAGCTTTAATTTCTAGTTATTACTCTCCAAAATGTCCCTTTGTCCAGATACATCTACCTGCAGAGTGAGAGTGAACTTGAAACCAGAACGTTAGTTGTGTTCACGCTCTAATGTTGTACTGTGCTCTTGTAGGAGACTACGCTGGATTCCCTGGCTGTGGGTTACTGCGGCTGCACAGCACCTACAGACATGACCTGAAGATTTACGCGTCTGATGAAGGAAGGGTGCAGATGACGGCCGCAGCTTTCGCTAAGGTGTGCAGGAGAGGACAGTTCTTCCATAACGACAGAATCTGACCTATTCTTAGAAAACTTCAATTACTGTCATTGATCACAAGGTCACACGTCACAAAACATCTTGGTGTTTTAAACAGCACACGTTAGTCATCGTGTGTGTGTGTCTGTGTGTGTGTGTGTGTGTGTGTGTGCGTGTGCGTGTGCGTGTGTAGGGTTTGCTGGCACTGGAGGGTGAGCTGACGCCGATCCTGGTGCAGATGGTGAAGAGTGCCAACATGAACGGGCTGCTGGACAACGACAGCGACTCGCTGAGCAGCTGCCAGCACCGGGTCAAGGCCAGACTCCACGAGATTCTCCAGAAGGACAGGGACTTCATCGATGAGGACTACGATAGGGTGATTAGTAAACACGTTTACCACTGAGATCTGAGTTTGTACAGATTGATTATCAAGCTACATCCTTTTCCTGTTTCTTTATTTCAGAGGAACCAAACAGATGTTAAAACATGTTTCTCTTGTTTTATGTATTTGACTGCTCAGTTCACACTACACAATCTTTCCAAAAAAGATCTGAGCTAATTCAGCGTTGGATCGGCTTTCACCAATCGCTTCATGTGAACTCTTCAAATGTGCAAGAGTCTCGCTGACACGTGGCCTCCGACCACATGTCGAGCAGCCAAATATTCAAAAGGATCTGTGGCCAGGCAGTCGTGAACTGTGAACTCACAATGACTGCGCGCCTCCTCATCATAAGGAGTTGTGTACTATGAACTGCACAGCAAAAACTGTGTTGTCAGACCTTTGCAATAACAACCATTGATGCAAAGTTTTCTTGAGGTCCTTGTCCTGTGACTGCTCACAGGTCAGTTCTGATCTAACTTACTTCTCTGTAGCTTCAGCTACTTTACAGAAGGTTTCCCACAGTGATTGTAGGACTGAGAGGATGATATGTAGAGACAGGTTGTTCATGTTAACCTGGGAACATGTCTGTGTCTCATATCTTCTGTGATCATTCAGAAGATTATGAACCTGTCATGAGAGGATTTTATTTTCTTCAGCTAACTGTAGAGCTGAATTATATTTCATCATGTTTCTGTCATAGGTTTGTCCGGCGACGTTCATCTGTTCCACCTAACCGGCTTCTTTATTTTACTGCTTTGTCATTTTCCTCTCTCCTTTTGTGGGACAGCTGGCGCCGAACTGTAGTGCCTCTTTGGTGAATTCCATGAAGATCGTCCAGAACCCGGTGGCCACATGTGACCAGGTCTACGCCCTCATTCAGAATCTCACTTCTCAGATCCGCAAAAGAATGGAGGACCCCAAGTCAGCAGGTGAGTAAAAGTCTTCCTGGAGGGAGGTCGGGGTTTGAGGGTTTTTGTTATTGACCCGCAGCAATTTCACTGGGAGCTGCTTGCATTGAAAACAATACCAAACTACTGATTGAGAGCAAATGTTGGTTTTGTTTCTCCGACCACCAGCAGCATAATATCCTCATATCCTCTTCTCCTCTTCTTCAACTGATCTTCCTCAGACCTGCAGCTTTACCACAGTGAGACACTGGAGCTGATGCTGCAGCGCTGGTCCAAACTCGAGAGAGACTTCCGCATGAAGAACGGCCGCTACGACATCAGTAAAATCCCAGACATTTATGACTGTGTAAAGTATGACGTCATCCACAACGCCACTCTGGGCCTGGAGGACACGCTGGAGCTGTTCCGACTGTCTCGAGCTTTGGCCGACATCGTCATCCCACAGGTGAGAGCGGAGGACGCAGAGGACATGTGTCCCCACTGGACGACTGCAAAGAAACATTCTTTTGAGCTTTTTCTGTCTACGGTCATTTTTGTATGCTTAGATTTTTTAAAATAATCCCAGATGAGTTTAGATGACAAGAAGTAATGTCACCAAGTGTAATAATTTACTAACTCAAATTCTGCACAAAACTTTGCAAATAAATTATGTTTATTTCAAAGTCGGTTGCTCCACATTTAAAGGTCAAAATAACAAGAGCTGTCTGAAAGAGCAAGAACCACGTTGAAAACAGAAAAAAGAAAAGTGAAGAAGTGTTTTTCTCTTCTCATTAAAATGAAGTTCTTTGATAATTAACCTCAATCAATGGGTGGTGATACAAAGTGTGGTTCAGGAGATTTGATGTAGTTTAAGCTTTTAATAATATGAAGTGAATCAAGAAACTAGTTTCAGAGGTTTCACCTTGTTGTACTTGTTCCATTCGTTTTTTTTCTTCTCTTTTTTAGGAATATGGCATAAATAAAGTGGAGAAATTGGACATAGCGTACGCCTACTGCCTCCCACTGGTCAGGAAGATTCAGCTCGACCTGCAGAGGACCCACGAGGACGAGTCTGTCAACAAACTACATCCTCTGTGAGTCTGTGAACCAAAGAGTACTTTACATTTACTCCAAGGTACAAGAGGTGCAGTAATCTATATGTTTAGTAGTAGTATTAGTCCAGTAATGCCTGGAGGGGCTGGGCAAATCAATGTACTTCAGAGCAGCGCCTCAGTTTAATAAGATTTCCCCATTTGAAGAAGAAAACCGTAAAGTGTGGATGTTAGTACATTGGCCGGTCTACCTGGTGAAGTATCCGACCGCTGCAGCTCCTCCAGAACGCTGCAGCTCGACTGGTCTTCAACCTAAGTTCACTCAGCTCCTCCGCTCCACTGGTATCAGTGGCTGCCCGCTTCAAGACACGAGTACTTGTACTGTGCTGTGAACCTTGAACCCTGGCTCCTACTCATTACAAAGTCCTTCAGGCAAAGTTGTGATTAGTTAAACTGACTTGAGTGGCATGTTCACAGGTACTCTCGCGGAGTGATGTCACCTGGGCGCCATGTCAGGACACGTTTGTATTTCACCAGTGAAAGTCACGTCCACTCTCTGCTCAGCATTTTCCGCTACGGTGGCCTTCTTGATGTAAGCAACTGAACGTCCATCTATAGAGTGAGTGTGTCTCTGATGAGGGTGGAGCTGATTTTCTTCTGTCTCTCTGTCTCTGTCAGGAGGAGAAGGACCAGCAGTGGAAGCGTGCCATGGACTACCTCAGTGCTGTCTCTGAACTCAACTACATGACTCAGATTGTCATCATGTTGTATGAGGACAACAATAAGGTAGATTTGGTCTGTTTTTTAACTACATGTAGTTCATAGTACATGATCATGACTCTGTGTAGGTACACACTTGTATTTATAGAGGTTTATACTTGTATACTTACACCTCTCGTTCTTCAGTGTGTAAATACAACACCTCAACAAGTTCCTTCTATAGACTTAAACCTAGATTTTAGGTTTGGACCGAGGATACTTTTGAGATGCCTGTTGAAATATGTGCACTTTACCCACCATTTCAAACTGAAAGTAACAAAAGTTGACCCTCTTAAAAAGGAGAAGAATAAAACCCATCCTGTAATAGAGCCGTCATCATGTGATCAAGTGAAATGTTCTTCACGTCAGTCAAGACCAGATTCGAATCAGGTTCCCACGCGTTGTCATCTCATGGCCACAAATTAATAATTCGTTGCTATGACTTATTTTTACCAGGAGGATCCGTAGTTTAAAGAGGATTAGGACTTTTTTTGTGTGTTTCTGAAAGTAAAGTAAAATACAAAAATAACTTCAGTATCATATTGGAAACAATGAGGACAACTTTGAACTTTATGTCAGTTACATCTCTGTGGCTCTCTGTAAAGGACCTGACCTCTGAGGAACGTTTCCACGTTGAGCTTCACTTCAGCCCGGGTGTCAAAGGCGTGGAGGAGGAGGAGAACGCGCCCACCGGCTTCGGCTTTAGACCCGCTTCTGCAGAGGTAGCACGGCAGGTAGACTCACATCCAAACATTTCGTCTGCAGCGTAGTTCTGCAGAGAGCAGCATGTGTATTCTCTCTCTCTGCTCATTCAGAACGGCCAGAAGCAGCCCGACCCCGGCAGCCTGGAGGACCTCTCCCGAGATGAGACGGACCGTGCTGTGCCACTGTCTGAGCCAATCACCATTCAGAGAAGGTCCCCACTAATACGCAATCACAAGACGGGATCCATGGAGGTGAGATCAAGAGACTAGATGCTGGAAATAATGAAAAAGACTTGACACTAGAATCTGGTTCCTGAATCAGTTTCAAAGATTCTTTCATGGTAGAAACATCACTGTCCATCATTAGACCAATAAACACAAACCTATTGATACATTCACTGCAAATAAAGATGGACGACATGACCTGTCATCTGGATCGCCCCCTGGTGGCTGGCTGCATCATGACCCTCATCCTTGATGGCAGATGTGACCAAACTAAGTGTTGATGTTTCTGGTCAGTTTAGTTTTAATTAATAATTTGATGATATAAAAACAGGTTGAGACGTCATGATTGACAGCTGAGACTGACTTATAATTGGTTGAGCACATTTGTGGGCGGGACGTCGATACCACGGCTTCACTCCACGATCACTGCTGCAAAGACTCGGACTGCAAATGATGTCACCGCCAGAAGGGGGCAGCCTTCATATCTGAGATATATTAGCTTCATCTTGGTCCAACTGTAGGAAGTGTTGACGTGTTGTATGTACAGTCTCAGGTTTGATTGAGCCACAGCTTCTCTTCTCTGAATTTGACCTCTCTTGTTATAAGTCTTATTTCATGTAAACCAGCATTAACATCCAAATCTACATAACTACCTCTCCCTGATTGTGTGTGTGTGTGTCCTCGTGTTCCTGTTCCATCAGGTCCTGTCGGAGACATCGTCCTCCAAAGTGGGAAGTTACCGCCTCTTCTCCTTCTGCTCTCGTCAGTCCCCTGAGATGAAACAAAGTGGATTAGGTAGGTACCATCGTGCCTTGTCGCCGTGGCAACTGCGTGTATAGACGACAGTGTGTAATGTGTGCAGGTTTCATGACATGACTTTGGTCCGACAGGAACAGTTAATGGAAATAAAACACTCTGTACACGTTGGTGAACAACATTAAGGCAGCAGGGTCTTGCATCTTTTCCCCAGTTGAAGATTTGAATGTGGTGCGTTCACTTGTGTTTGAAGAAAACTAGTTTCCGAGGTCAATGGAAATGAGTCATGATAAAATGGAGGCTACACTTTTGTTACGTGATTTAAATCATGAGAATCGAGGATTAGGAAAATGGTCCCAACACAGTTTTGCATCAAAAATCAACTGTGCAGATTCTCTCCTGTAATTCTGATGAAAATCATCAGATATTTGTGTTCAGATGCTGAAGCTTCCATTCGATTGAGAATCAAAGTGTTAACCTTCGGCACAGATTAACATTTCCTCCTCTCTCCATTGCAGTAAGCCTCGACCCTTTCCCTCTTCAGCCTGATAGAACGACTCTGCAGCTGTTAAACTCTGACGCTGTTAAAAGAAAAATCCGCCCCAGGTTTCACATCTGTCACTTTTGTTTGTTGTCGTGAGATCAAAACATCACAGGCCTCCAGAAGCCTGGTCACTGAACTGAGATCAGAAACATCTGGATCTGCACCAAAGCTTTTCATAGAAAGAGAGAGATATCTCTCCATACGTCTGAATTTTATTCATATACAACATTGCATCATCAAATCTCACAATGGCACAGAAAGTGGGGGAACATCCTGGATTCAGGAAGTTCTTCTTTGGCTCATCCTCCAAACTCTGATGACCAACAAACCGCAACGAAAACACAACCTCCTTGAGATAAACATCAAAATTACAGTCCAGTCTACTTTATTTTGAAATCACCATTTCCCAGTGAGGTGTCATACTTGAGGAAAGTCAGTGAAAAGTCACCTGACAGTTTCCTCTCGACTGGATTTTTCTCTTTCTCTCTTCTTTTCTCTGGACAAGCTGATGAAGAGAACGATGGGAGGTCCGATGTGTTGAATGTGTTTCGGGGTGGATTTTTCCTTTTAGCCTCGTTTCCTGACTAAGTGATTTAACTTGAAACTTGTGAAGTAGATGTTGGTATGAGTTGCATGGTCTCTTCTGTCCCTTCTGTCTCTTCTGTCCCTGTGTCTTTCTTCTTCTGTCTCTTTTCTGTCTTTCTCTGCTCAGTTGATTTGAGTAACAGCATGTTTATGTAGCGGTGACTAACCCCGCCCCCCCCCGCAGGCTCTCAGTGCGCCGGCCTCTTCAGCACCACTGTCCTAGGTGGGTCCTCTAGCGCCCCTAACCTGCAGGACTACGCACGCGCACACCGCAAAAAATTCTCCAGCGGCAGTCTGTCCTACAAAGACGGTACGTGTTTGAGACCGTGCTCCTTCACAAACCTGCACAGAGCAACAGCAGATCAGTGTCCTACACATTCCCTCCTTAAGTCCTAAGATACTACAAATATCAAGTACTCACGAGCAAAGAGCCTGTGAGGGAGCAAACAACACATGAGGTAGAAATGTTAAGTCGAGCCTGACAGATTTATCCTAAACTTTCTTTCACAGAACAAACATTGCGGAAGTGCTTTCATGTTTATACTTAAGAGTCTATTTTCTTTTTTTATTTCTGTTGTCTTTCATAGTTATTTATCATAAAGTTTATGGTCAAACTGTAAAATATCAAACCTCAGTTACATCTTTCTTAACAAGATCTTAGGAATCACAGCCAACGTTTTAAAAATATATCGATCTGCCGATATCTCGATCGTGAAAGTTTGTACCTCTTAATGTGAGTCTGGTCGGGCTCTAGTATGAAAAGCAGTTGATCACAGTAGTAAAGGCTGTAGAACATATAAGTATCTCTAATATTATATATTATTAAAACTATAGTATTTTATAGTCTTTAAATCTTATCTGTGTTTAAATATTTTGTGTACTTTTAGGCTCCATATTCATTCTGGATTTTTCCATCGTTTCCCTCCACATCACTTTGAGTTCATTCTCGTTTTTCCCGTAGCGGTCACATGCTGCCTCGTGCCCAATGAACCCTTCAGAACTGACTTTGAGTTTAATCAACAGATTAAGTGTGCAGTGTTGTCAGCCTGGAGATTTTTCAGTTTGTTAGTTGGAGATGTTAAAAGTTGTCTGATTTATTTTTCCATTCGGAAATGCATGAATGAATCTACAGTCCATCAGTACGTGTCCATTCACAGCCGCTCATTCTCCAAACCATCATCGTGGTGTGTGATGTTTTTCTTTCATGCTCCATGAGTCTGTTCAGTCTGCGGACAAAGGTGATAATCTGCCTTGAAATACTCATTATTCACTGTTTCACTTTTGTTTGATATGATTGGAAGCTCCGTCTGTAACTGTGCACAAATATTATTTGTGAAAAGAAAATCTAAATGATGAAATATTGACTTCAGGGTTTAATGACTCATCAAAACGCAGTCAGTGGTTCTTGGCCATGATTGTGTGGCTGAGTGTAAAGTGTGTTGTCATGTGGTCCAGTAGGTGTCAGTGTGGTCTCATACAGACTCGGTCCTCACTGTTGGTCTTTGTCATCCATCTTGTTTCACCTCATTCTCACAATCACAGGAAGCTTTGTGTTTTCGATGCATCGGTGCACGATGCTCGTCTGAGCACAGCGTCGGCCTCTTGTTTTATTTTCCTTCATGCTGAAGCTTCTTCAGGTTCACCAGTTGTTTTTTCCATTGTTGTCTTTGTGTCAGAAGCCCCAGCTTTATTTCACCCTTCAGTTGGAGTTGTTATTTAGCTGATCACTTTAGATCTCAGGAAGGAGAAGCAAAGACATTTGATATGAGTCCTGGGCACTTTCCTGACTTGTCAGTGTCCTCTCCACCTGTAGTGAACACTATTAACACGATTTAATGTTTCATTCTCCGTCACACATCTTCACAGTCCTGACAACAGAAAGTTCATTCTTAGAAGCTGTTGGTTGATTCCTCCACACCTGCGTCCACATTAGAAAAGAACAGGGAAATAAAAAGACATGATTATTCAAGTTGCTGTGGCTCATAGAATTTTTTTTTTATTTCCTCAGAGTTGTTGTCTATGCCGGCAGTAAAACGATTTTCTGTGTCGTTTGCAAAGTATCCGACTAATGGTACGTCTGCTTCTTTCAAGTATTTTTCCACTTCACCTCCCTTTGTCTTGCATGTCTTCAGAATTCTGTTTTTGACCTGTTTTTTTTTCACATGGCCCTCCAGCATACCAGGTTTCCATTTTATAAATTTTTCTAATTTGTAGTTATTTTTGTTTACCCATTGGCTTTGGACTTTCCTAACACTACCTGACATTCTCTGTCTAACCAGGGTTCCCACAGGTCATTACATTAGTCAGATGTCATTTAGAGACAGAATGTCAGTGACTTTAACAAGGACACAAACTATAACGTCTTCACACAGCTTCTTAAACTTGTAAGGAACAGCACTAGATATATAATAAGAGAATTGTTTCAAGTTAAAAGTCTTTTTTTATGTCTTCACGTTGTCTCTTTCACTCCTGGATGATTAATGAATATAATTTAAATCATCTCATCCCGTCTTTATACAGTAGATCATAGTTAAATTTACTGCATACCACTTACATTTACACTTACATACTCTTGCCTTTTTATTCTATTTGTTCCAGCCCATTGTGATCTTTCTTCAATAGTATTTGAAGTGTCAGGAAGTTTGAACGTTTCCTGCAGTCGTTCAGATGATGACGCTCGTAGGTTCATTGTTTATATGCACTGAAGTCTTCAGGTTACTCTTGGCTCTGTGCACTAACGTGAGGAATGATTCTAGAAGCAGATTAGAGACGTGATATCGTCATTCAGCTGCTCAACAGTCACTGCCCCTGGGACGTAACCTCTCACAGGCAGCTGTGTGTATTTACACAGTTTAGAATATTGTGTAGACAAAATGAAAACATACTTTTCTTTCACGATATTAGAAACATTAAAAAGTGAAGTACCTATGTCCAGCAGGACCGTTAATTAATACGATTAAAAAGCTCTACTGTTCTTCTGAGGGCCCTCGTCACTGAACTACACTGAATAAACTGCAAGACAGATCGTATAGATTCTGTCAACATCTGGAAATATCAAGGTCGAGTTTAAAAGAGCAAATCATTGAAAATCAATCAATCAAACTGTATTTGTAAAGCCCATATTCACAAATCACAGTCTGTCTCATAGGGTTTTAAAAACAACCGTATGTTAAAGACCCAACCCAGAAGCAGAGAGAATGATTTCCACAAACGTTTGGAACGTTTCAGGCAGTAGTGCGAGTTCTGAACTCTGACTGCAGGATATTTTTACGGATGTTTTTAAATCTAGAAGTAGTTATTTCTTCTGTTGTACTGTTTTACCCTCGTATGGACACAATGTGGTTCAAACCCACAGTCAAGAATAATACACATCATTTTTTGACCTAAGTCTGAATTCTAGAAACCGGTTGTTGATCGTCTTCTCACTCACTTGAATTTAAAACACTGGTGACAGAGTTCCAGCTGTAATATTATCCTGGTTGTAGCTGGAACGCCTTCACCTGGGCCTTGTGTTTTCTTGGTACGTTCCGTGAAGTTTCCAACAGAACAGGGATTGATAGAGACATTAACATTAGTCAACTTTGAAGACACTGAATCAGGGAGATCAGGATCAGGACATTTAACAGATTTGAAAATGAAGCAACGGCCGGCTAAGCTAGGCTAACAAAGTGTACCAACTCGCCTGTAACTTACTCCAGATTCATCCCATCGAGCTCAACAACACTGATTAAAAAACGCTGGGCCAGTTGAAAATGATTTCTGAAGGTCAACATGGAAAAATGTTTGGAGACTTGCAAGAGACAAAGAAGGTTGAGAAGAGAAGCAGCAGAGTCTGAGAGGTGCTGATGCTTGTTCACCTGTAAAAACACTGAAGCGACATTAGAAACGTGACTCGTGTCTTTTATCAGATTCAAATTATTCCACAACCTCATTCTGCTTCTTCACGGAGACAAAAATCTTTGAGTGTTTTTATTCAGCACACGTGACCCCGGGCGTCTCGCTGCGGATCATCACAGTAAACAGATGCTTCATGTTTCCCACACTGTTGAACAGACTGAGCCTCAGGTGGGAACCCTGTTAACCATCCTGCATACGACCGGTCACCATCATCACCCTGTGTGTGTGTGTGTGTGTGTGTGTGTGTGTGTGTGTGTGTGTGTG